GGTTATCCAGTCGAGAAAACGTAGTTTGCGTCTCATCTGGCCATACAGGGGTGGAATGTGTTGACAATCTGTACTTCACACAGCGTGACGTGTGAGGGCTCGCGATCTTCAGAGACAATCACAGAATATGACAGAGCTCGTGTTTTAAAGCGAAACACACTGGAATGAATAATTCACTTAAAATGCAACGCGAGTCTCTGTTCTCGCTGCAATCTCTGATGTAATCAGCCTGGTTTCCTTTATATTAGCGCTGTTTTGGATGGATTGTTTGAATGCATTTAGCAGCTTAAAATGATCTAATCGCAAGCAGAGTAGCAAAATTGGGTTAAAGGGTTAGAATAGAAATTGTGCTTCAGTAATTTTGCGTTAATTGCGTTAAATTATTTTAACGCGTTAAGGATTGTAAAATTAATCGCACGCGTTAACGATGACAGCCCTAATATAAATACACACACATGCACGTATATATATTTAAGAAAAATATATTTATATATTAAATATATTTATATGATATCAATTATGTGAATATAAATATATACATGTAAATATTTTCAAAATATATACTGTATGTGTGTGTATTTATATATACATAATAAATATACACAGTACACACACATATATTATGTAAACAAAAACTTTTATTTTTGATGCGATTAATCGTTGCCCAGCAATAATTTATATACATTTAATAATATTTTTAATGTAATATTTCTGCACATTTTGTGGTGAATTTTGGCACACTTTTGCAGAGTAAGCAATCAATGGAGAAGCCATAACTACATACCAAAATGGCTGCCATCTACTGTTGTGGACTTTTGACGTCTCTCTCTAATCCAGCGAGCAACTACCTCATGAATATTTACTGGCAGTTGGGGCCGCCAGCCCAGAAACAAACAGCCCACTTAATATTTGATGGCTTTTTTGCTTTAGAGTTGAGTACACAGTGCATGCAACGCTGCCTCTGCTGTTGTGTGTGTGAGTGTGTGTTTGTTTGTGAATGAATGAGAGTATAATACCATGTGAGATTGGAGCTGAACTTGGGCCTGTCTGCCTAATGGGTCCTTTGTACCTTTCTTTTTAAAAACCACAAAGCTTTGCAGGAGGGCGGAACTGTAAATAAACACAGTATGCATCTGCCCCACATTTTGAACTTCATAAGAATCACATTTAAATTCTCGGTTTGTCTTGCAGGATCTGGAAGTTTTGTCTCAGGAGATCATGCATTTGAGTAAAGACGCCACCCCTGCAGAAAACTCCAAAGCCACGGGATAAAACTGGACACCGTCCACCCGATGATTCAGTACCCTTCTATTTCTCGCATCTCTTCACGGCTACCAGGAGGAAACTACATTCATCTCGTACAAAGACCTCCAGCAATCTCAGATGTTCCAGGAGCACAGAGGGTCAAAACCGATGAAGTCCATCTGTGATTTGCATACTACTGAATGTAATGTAACGCTCTATATGTTTATTTGTCTGTGATGGGCATGTACTGTTAGAAAAGGGTCCGTTGAGCAAACCCTGGCTGCTTGACATCCATGAACTGAGTGCAAAGGACGGGGGCTTGGCCTCGGTGGTCCAAACAGGACCGTTCTACCTACCACTAATTCCCCCGTTCAGGAAAGCGTGTGTCTAATGTTGGCGTCCTCAAACTGCTGTCACTGTTGTATTGCCTGTTTTGTATATTTGATTCGCTAAAGACACTTATTGTGTGTGTGTGTGTGTGTGTGAATGTGTTTCTATGAGGTGTAGAATGGGGTGTATTTATTCATGCCAGAAAATCCAAAAATTATGTCTACATCTCTACAGGATGCTGCTCGTATCTGAAAGAAAATCTCAAGTTCTGCAGTTCATTATATGAAAAAAATTGCAAAAAAATGCTGCAATAATAATCGGAGCATTTTTGTGGGACTCTCGAAATGTTTCCGTGAAGGAAGGAGGCTCCCTGGACTCCCCAGACTCCCCAGCTTAACGATTCAATTTGACACCTCTCTGTCTGTCTCAGAACTGACAGCGCTGTTGGGGAACGGACCAATTTCTCACAGCGTGCACTTGACTCCCATGAGAAGCTAGCCGCCTGTTTTAGTGTCTAACACCAGTTTGTTTCGTGCGCGTTGATGCCCTGTCGTTTTCTGTGAATGTTGCAACATGATTCTGCTTTTATGCATTCAGCTTTTGTGAACATTTTAAATTCTGATGCACATAGAAATATTTTATTTGGCGAGTGCATAGTTAATTTAATCGTGGGGTCATGTGACTGATTTTTTTTGCTGTTGGTCCTCACTCTCTTCATGTGTTTTTCTGTTTAATTGCTTGCACTGATGTCAAACACCATCCACTGTGTCTTGATTTTTCCAATCGTTTACCAACAAGCATAGTCAAAGAAGACACCTTTTTTTTTTTTACACAAATGAAAAGTCATAGAGTTGGCGAAATATCAGCCTAATTTTCATTCACGTCAAATTAAATATGGCATATGCTCCATTGATCATTTTAAATGCAATGAATATTGACCAACTATTTGTTTAGATCCTTCTGATTGCTCAACAGAACGAAGTAGATTTTATAGAACATTTTAGTCACATGAGATAATGGATTCAGCATCCACCCTATTCGTCAACGGTTCTGTATTAAGTTAGAGATGTATATGTATATTCACTTTGGCAAAATTGTTTTATGATTTTGTGAGTTGTGAACGATTAGCATTCTATTTCAAATCTTTGCAAAGCTTTAAGCTTTATTACACAATGGTTTGTTTCCATGTTCTTGGCAGATGAGCGTGACTTTCGTGCATGGTGTGTTAAATGCCTGTCAAATCCCTGTCTCTGGCTTCTTAAGGAAATCCTGACGAATGCTTTTGCATATTCCTTTCGTTTATACCATACAGAAGTAGGATAATGATATTCTTTCATTTCCACCATTGAGGAAACTGACATATTAAGATTCACTTGGACGATTGCACTCAAAAGAATGAAGGATGTTTGCCTTTGAAGCTCAGAGTTTTCTCTTTTTTTTGTCTTTTACTCTTCTAATATCTGCCAAACAAGCTCTTCTTTAATTAAGATCATCTTTTAGTCATCATTAACTACATGTAAGCAGATTCCATTATTAATGTCCGATCGCCCACTACATCTCTACGGCTAATATTTATTTATGTCCATTTCATTGTCATTTTCAGACTTCCATAACTTGCAGAGATAATAAAGAATGGCTGGAAAAACAATGTCTGTGTGTCAGATTTTCTATGCTTTGTTTACAATGTACGTTTTATGCATTTGACAGATGCTTTTTATTGAATACTAGGTGTGCCCTGGGAATCAAAACAACAACCATGGCGTTACTATGACATGCTGTACCAGCTGAGCTAGAGGAACCACAAATCGTACATCGCAAAGGTTTTTCTTTCTTGTGTAGTGTTTTTTTTTTTAAGAGAAGTGCATTACATGTGACTGATACACTTATAAAAATAAAGGTTCTAAAAGGGGGTTTTCACAGTGATGCCATAGTCATGCACATTTCAGTGACCAATTTTTAAAAACCATTTTTTTCTTAGTGTCAAGAACATTAATGAAATAACCTTTTTCCATTATAAAGAACCTTTTGTGCAATCAAAAGGTTCATTGGATGTTAAAAAGGTTCTTTGTGGAACCATTGATGACACTGAAGAACCTTAATAAAAATTCTGTTATTGTTTACTCACTGTCATGTTGTTCCAAACCTGTATGACTGATTTTCTTCTTGAACAGACAAAGATATATATATATATATATATATATATATATGCAATGTATATACAATATATAACAATGCTTTTATTCACTGACAGTCAACAGGATCCAAAAACAACTTTGGACCCCATTGACTTTCATTGAATGGACAAAGAAAACATTTATTTATTTTTCCACAGAAGAAAGTAATTCAGGTTTGGAATGATAAATGCTGGTTTCTCCCCAGGTCTGTGGGCTAAACACACACGCATCTCTTTTTCACTGAGTGTTTGTCTACTAGATTAACTAATCTCTCCTCTGAGCACAAACGTTGTTTACCGCACTATCAGTGATGCCTGTTAAAATGTGTAAACAAATGACACGAATCACTGAGCAGTGTTTAATTGGAGCCATTCAAATACTGCTGTCATCTTTGTCTTCGTCACTGTTCAGTAAGTGTGATCTCTAATCAATACTACAAGCTGAAGAGCTCCACTGCTTTGCATTGGGTTTCATCCTTATAACGACCATAGGCCCTCATAAAATAGACAATCCAAGAAGACTTGAAAGGTTTTAAGATCCAAAGGTCCAAAGCACATCAACTGGCCACGGGGGTTCCTCAGGGATCAGTTCTTGGACCCCTTCCTCTTCTCCATATACACTACATCACTGGGACCCATCATACAGGCACATGGTTTCTCCATTGCTATGCTGATAACACACAGCTCTATCTTTCATTTCAACCAGATGATCCAACAGTAGCTGCACAGATCTCAGGCTGCCTGACGAACATCTCGGCATGGATGAAAGAACATCACCTACAGCTCAACCTGGCAAAGACTGAGCTTCTCATCTTCCCTGCCAATCCGATCCTACAGTATGATTTCACCATCCAGCTAGGTTCATCAACAGTTACCCCATCAAGTTCGGTCAGAATAATCAGAATCTGGTGTAATAATAATGTATATAATAATGTTCAATGCAAGGCAAAATTAATGTATTAAGAATACTTTTATACTGTATTCTATATAAAGGCTTTAATTAAAGTGTTACCAAATCTTTTTTGTAATAAACATAATTTTATACGTGGCTACAAAATGGATGTAATAAGCAAGTTTGTGAGTCATTTTCTAACTAGCTCATTTAAATAAACCACTTCATGCTGGGTGGTTATTTGCTTCCATGTAGTGTGTTAAAATAATTTAATGTACAGCTATCATCATTGGATTATCCCTTTCGAAATCAATGCAAATATGATACAGCTCTTCCTCTGCCAAATTTTTTTAAACTCAATTATGAAGCGTTTAATTTTATTTAATAGCACAAAATGTGATGGAAGTATTCCAGGTCATGGAAACTTGCATTTATGTTTAACACTCATGGGTTCTAACCAGGGCATTAGTGGATTGATTGATATCAAATCAATACTTAATAAATAAAGGAATTACTCGGGACATAAAAATAGTAGGACTGAATCAGTAAGACTGAATCATTTCAATGGTTGCTCATTAGTTGCAGATTTAACGTGTCCGAGGGGCTCTTCAGCATCTTAAGTGAAATGATTAAAGCATCGATTTGTAATCAATACACCTACACCTCAGAATATAGCATGGTTAATATCATGGTTAAAGCTCTCCTGTGAGCTCCAGCTTGTGTAGATCTACATTTGACTGGTTTATAATTACAGGTGACAAGGGATATTCTGCATTGATTAGAGCTGCTTTCACGTAATTGTCTTTGCTTCTGGTTATTGTTTGTGACTATTGAGGGTCGGGCAGCTGTAAATTCGAAGCCTTAGAAAGATCGAAATCACTGTTGTAACTCTGCAGTCTGCTTTTGTGCCTTTTCCTGCAGTAATTTAGCCGTGAACTCTTGTATTGACATCGGAGTTGTGGAAATTGAACGCAGGGACTGTCAAGATGGAAAAGGTTGGAGAATTACTCCCAAAGGTGTTGGAAAAAACACCCATTCTGATGCTCCCATGATGCTTTTGGTAAGTGGTTTTCCAACAGTCAACGAAACGGTTTTTCTCTCTTCCTAATCACTCTTTCTACTGAGGGTCAGTTTGATTTTTTTTAAATGACTGAAAGCAGTGTTGTGGGTAACACATTACAGGTAATGCGAGTTATGTAATCAGATTACTTTTCTCAAGTAACTAGTAATGCATTACTTTTTAATTTACCAGAAAATATCTGAGTTACTTTTTAGAATAAGTAATGCCAGTTACTATGTTTTCCAATTTACTGACTGACAGCTCTCCTGTTCCCATGTTAAGAGAAATCAGGTGTATGTGTAAAGGCGTTGTGTGCGCTGTGTAAACATGATGGTTACTGTAGCTCTAGACTAAATGTGAACGTGCATTTACTCATCTCACTTACAAACCCGTATTCCTCAAAATGAATAAAAACATTGAAATGCAAACTCAGAATATGATGCAAACCTGCAATTATTAAATGTTAAATAACACAAATATTCTTTATGGATTTAATCCCATTTTATTGACCAACATCTTTGCTGCTGACATTTGATGATCCAATTTAACCATACTAATATGCAAAAGGTGCTTCAAAAGGTTCTTCAAGCGATGCCATAGAAGAACCATTTTTGGTTCCACAAAGAGCCATTCAGTCAAAGGTTCTTTAAAGAACCATCTCTTTCTTGCGTTTTTGTAATCTGAAGAACCTTCTTTCGCCACAAAGAACCTTTTGTGAAACAGAAAGGTTCTTCAGATTTAAAGGTTCTTTATGGAACCATTTAGACAAAAACGTTCTTCTATGGCATCGTGAAGCACCTTTATTTTTTAAGAGTGCAGAAGTCGTGGCCTAATGGTTAGAGAGTCGGACTCATAACCCAAAGGTTGTGGGTTCGAGTCTCGTACCGGCAGGGATTGTAGGTGGGGGGAGTGAATGTACAGCACTCTCTCCCACCTTCAATACCACGACTGAGGTGCCCTTGAGCAAGGCACCGAACCCCAACTGCTCCCTGGGCGCCGCAGCATAAATGGCTGCCCACTGCTCCGGGTGTGTGTTCACGGTTTGTGTGTGTTCACTGCTGTGTGTGTGCACTTTGGATGGGTAAATGCAGAGCACTAATTCCGAGTATGGGTCACCATACTTGGCCACATTAAGATGAGAAAAAGTAACGTAAAAGTAACGTAACACATTACTTTCCATAAAAGGTAAGCAAGCAATGCAATTAGTTACTTTTTTAGGGAGTAAAGCAACATTGTAATGCATTACTTTCAATAGTGACTTTCCCCAACACTGCTTGAAACACGGGTTAAATATTTATTTGTTCTTGAAATTTTGTGACTTTTTCGAAAAAATATGACGTTGGTAAAAAAAAGAAAGAATGTAACCTAGAGTTAATAAAGACATAAACCCAAGGTTAAGCTGTTTTGAGCATCAAAACTGAAAAGAACAAAGGACAAATGTGAAATGAGGCTCACAGAAATCATCTTGCTTTGCTTGCAAGATTTTGTTTCTATATTTGCGTTTGAGGATATTGATCAGAGCATTCAATCTGTCCAGAAAGAGTTGTACTCCAAGTGTTCTCAAAATATTTTGCCTGCGCATTTCCATAGTTAGAAAGCAACTAGATCTCATTGCCTCTGTCCTCTGGAAAGGTTCTAGGTGCCGTATCGCTCAGATGTATTTAAAACCCAGATGATATGACCCTGGATTGTGACCCTGCATTGGGACTCAGGTTGATATCCTTGACAGATACACAGAAAAAATGTACTCAGACTGAAGTAGGACAGACCATTAAAGATTAACTCACGGTGAGGCGTATCAAATATTGAATATGAGCACCAAGCAGGGGCTAGTTAAACGGGTTATGTAAATATTGTGAAATGCTGCAGATCCCAGTTGCCTTGATGTGTTGTAAGGTAACAGTTGGCTGAGACTGCACCAAAAAATGCAGGACACTTTTCACGGATATGCACACTTCACTTTTTTTTTTAAGCATTAGAGGTGCAAATCCAATGTTTTTTCAGTTGTGATAACTATTAGATGTTGACAAACTATTATCTAGCATACAATTAATCTAGCATAAAAATTAGCTAGTTTGAAACAGATCAAATGTCTCTATTAAGACATTTGATCTCTATTATGATTTAAAATCATACAATGATAATCTGTTGAACTGATATTCAATTAATGTTTTAATGAACTTTTATTCATTTCACTTTATTTCAGACTCAAAGCTTCATATCAAAACACATAAAAGCATGTACATAACACACACACACACACACACACACACACACATATGTTGTGTTTCCATTTTTTATTACATTTTACCTCAAAAATGTCCCCACAAGGTCAAAATTTACTAGTATTACTATCCTTGTGGGGACATTTGGTCCCCATAATGTGATAAATACCAGGTACACACACACACACACACACACACACACACACACACACGACAAAAAGCATACATATGCACATATGTACTGTACATATGTTTGGTGCAAAACTTAAAATCACAGATTAATTA